CTTGAAAATGTTCTCCGCTTTTTCCAAGCATATTTTACGTTTCCCCCAGGAATTACCCCCCAAAACGTATAATTACAATATTACAACTAAAAAATAATTTTTTTAATTTGTGTTTTAAGACATTGTTTCTTGTCAAATTTTATGAGTCTAGGTCAACAGGAAGTGCCCTATGGGTTTTTATTCCCATGCAAAAATCATAATATGCTACATAAACGGCCTTATCATTTGATTACTTTGACTTATTTGATTTCATTTTTTTCACAATTCCAAGGAATTGCAGACCTAAGTATTTGATACTAATTTCAGCTTGATACCTCCACGTTTTCATGATAAAACGAGCCTTGACAGATAGACAGGCTGATAATAGGGTGATCCTATAAGAGTTCCTTCTTTCCTATAGAAATACGGAACCCTAGACATAATAATAACGTAATAGTTAATTGATTCGCTCAAACTATTAGAACTGCCGTAACATATTGATAGATAATATTATAAACCCTGTGATTTCAAGAAGTATATTTATTATAAGCACTACAAATTTGAACATGAATTACAATGCTGTAGTTTAAACTAGAGTCATTTAATAAAAAGCGTCTGGATGTACGGCTAGTAGCGGCCATGTTTATCCTCTGGCGAGATTGATAAAAAATATAATAAGACATTTACATAAAAGTTGTTTATTAAAGAATGACTACATAAATCAAAAAGTAAACTTAACAAGTCTGTCATGTAGCATATGCGTTTTGAGTTTTGCTACCTAAAGGATCATTTTTAATAAATTTCTTTGAGGAAATATTTATGGGAAGTTTCACAAGTTGCTTCACTAAAATTGCATATAATTTTTGGAAGGTTCTTATAAGGGAAAAATCTATCATTTTTGACGTGACAACGTCTTATAATTCGATGGAGCCAGCTGCACGTACGAAAAAACATGACTCATGCGGCGTTACCTCTCTCTGAGGCGTTCCATTTAAGGCTTGAAGTGCAAGCGAGAGCGCGGAACGAGCGACAAAGAGGCACAATCGGCCTCCGCGTTCGGCAGCGTTCGACATCTGTCTCTCTCCTACTTGAGTGAGCGATGCGTCCGCGT